GAGGCAAACCATGAGAGACTCTTGAATGCTGACAAAAACTGAGGACTGATGGATGTGGTTGGGGAAGGGGAGTATGGGCACGGAGAGGGTCACTTTTGGGGATGAGCACTAGGTGTTATATGGAAACCAACTTGACAATAAACTATTTGTAAAAAAAAAAAAAAAAGTAAATAAAAAAAAATAAAGCAAAAAAAAAGAATGCTGTCAGAGTAGGGTGATTTCATATGAGGGCTAGGAACCGGGTCCCTTTACCCCTACTTTCACCCTTTTCTTGGTGTTGAGACTTAATTGAAAATCATTGAATTTCAGAAGAATTTTCATCCTTCTCATAATTTTTATTTTTTCTGAGAGGACAAAATAAGACTGCTGCTTTTTATAACCTGTCTCATATCTGCATAAAGTAAATTGATCTCATAGTGTTGAAAATGTGTGCCATTCACTAAAATACCTGGTCCAGGCCATAAAAGAAGTCCATTTGGGGCTCATAGTTGCTATTGCTAATGACCAAAACCTAACACTTAGTTTTGTTTAAGAGATAGATCATGTATCTCATGACTCACGACCTTATGAATGTAAGTATTTTCCACCTATATCAGAATATCCAGATATATCCATTACCCTGCCTCTTATAGAAGCCTCAGAGATAGAACTGTAGATTTCCTTCTCTCCTCATTTCCTTCTTTCCTTCCTTCCTTCCTGCCTTCCTGCTTTCCTTCCTCCTTTCCTTTCAAAACTCATGATCAAGTACTGACTGGATACCAAGTACATTTGAGGTTAGGGCAGGATCTGAAAGCATACTAGATTCTCCTACCCACTAAGGATTTCGTTTCAGAACCTTCCTTGAGTATATTCTGTTATCTGTCAGCACAGAGCCTGATGTGGGGCTCAAACCCACAAACTGTGAGATCATGACCTGAGCTGAAGTCAGACGCTCAACCGACTGAGCCACTCAGGCGCCCCGATTTTTATCTTTGAGTAAATTTATAAAAATCAAATCATTGTTGGTTTCCTTTCTGGAATTTTCTTTTTCTTTTTTAATTTGCTGCTTTTCGTTTTCAACAAGACTTTGCTTGAAGATGGTTTGATGTAGATTGCTGACAGCTGTAGATTGGAGGTGGTCCTGGTTCCCCTTGGCATCAGCAGCACCGAGACTGCCCCCTACAGTCACACCCGGCCCACCCGTGTTCTAGAGTCAAGCATTTTCCCGATTTTTCCCTCCATTCACTTAGTCCACGCGAGTTGATTGACATTCACACACCCCATCTTGAGAAATGCTAGTTGAGGAAGCAAACATATGGTGTGCCCTCATGGACTTCCAACCTGATATAAAATCATCAATTTCCGTTAATTTTACTTTCTGCATATCTTTCAAATCCCCTCTCTTTTTAACCCAAGCACCATCCTCTCTTGCCTACACTAAGGTAAATTTATCCTGTCCAGGCTTGCTGCCCTCCAGTCTTCCTCAACACAAAGTACGAATTAGGCCATCCCCCGCTTGGCTTCAACTCCTCATAGGTTCTCACTGCCTCTGTCAGTGCTCTTCCAACTCGCGTGCTTGCGTAGCCTTCCAGCGAAACAGGCTCAAGCAAATAGGTGCGACACATGTGTTTAAGTATTTATGTAGGTGTTTATGTAATAATGCAAGATACACGTTATGTCATAATGTACATTATGAAAGGCACATGCCCCCAAATAAGTTTTAGGATGAAATGAAGTATTCTAAATACTCTTAAACTTCATTTAACTGCAAAAAAAGTCTAGTCACTGAAAAATTCTATTTTATTTAACCTTTTCAGTCTCATTCCCTTTTGCCATTACTGGTCCATTATTCGCTTTCACTTACTTTCTCCTATGCCTTGAATGCCTCCTCCCCCACCATCCGCCATCTTCCCTTTCCCTGGTGAGCTCCTAAACACCTTACAGACCTTGCTTTTGCCACACCAATCCTAGAGTGAACTGAGTGCTCCTCCTCTTTACCCCTCTCCATGCCTCGTGTCTGTCACCATGTTGATTTCCACCATCTGCTTGTGAATCTGCCTTCCTCCCTTGACTGAGACTTCCTTTGGGAAAAGAGTGTATCTCATTTATGTTTATATGTCCAGAGCCTAAAAGCACTCTGTGTATTCTAAAAGAGCTGGCAAGTGAATACATTTGTTAATGGAGAGGATGATTGTGTGTCTGCAGTAGACAGAAATGTCATCTGTGTAGTTGCAGTCATTATAATAGTCCCCTCATAGTTATGCTGGCAGAAACATGATTGACCTCAATTCAGTTCAATTCCAGCAATATTTATTGTGCTCTTGCTCAGTAACAGGTGCTTGGAAGGTGGAGAAGAAACAGAGTCTGTGCTTTCAGAAATGTGGTTAGGAGGAAAGCCCAGCATACACTCAGCCATTCAGTTAGCACAGCTTTCTTGATGGCCTGCCATGTGCTGGGCACCGTTCTAAGCCCTGGGGATCAGCAGTGAGTGCAGTCAACAAAATCCCTGTACAGCTGATGTCTTCGTGGGAAAAATAAAAGAATAATAAGCCAAATGGTGATGAGCACTGTGAAGAAAAGAACCGGCATAATAAAAGTCAAAAGAGTAACTGGTGAATGGGAGGTTGGATCTGTTTTATATGGGGTCCTTGGGGGTTGGCCTCACCAAGTGGTGATCTCTGAGCACAGACTTCATCAAGGTGAAGGGGTGAGCCGTTTGGGTGTCTGGAAGAAGAATGTTTGAGGCAAAGGAGTACTGAACATGCAAAGGTCCTGAGGCAGGGGTGCCTTTGGCTTGCTGTGCAGCAGCCAGGAGTCCAGGTTGCCTTAGGTTGGCTGGTGGGAGGGGCTTAGGAGAGGATGCCAGAGACGTAGGGCGGCCCAGCTTGAGGGAGGCCCAGGAGACTGTCCCTAGAACTTAGTCTTTACTCTGAGTGAAATGGGCCCATCGGGGTTCTGAACAGATGAGGAATGAGGCCTCACGTAGGATTTGGTGAGCTCCTTCAGGGCCCCTGTGGAGAGCGGGCTACAGGAGGGCAGGCTGGGGGTGCAGAGGGTCAGCAGTTAAGAGGCTTGTGTGAGAACACAGTGGCGGGGGCATGGCTCTGAACGTACGGGGAAGGTGGTGCTGTCTGGATTTGGGAATGGAGGATGCGCAGGACCAGGCAGGAACGGAACACTTCTAAAGTATCAGCAGTGTGCCCTGTGGACTCTTCAAGGGCAGGGGGTCCCCTCCCCCAGAGCACTTGGTCCTGGGTAAGGGGCCCAGGCGGGGCTGCTGCTGCCCTCCCCCACTCAGGCTGAAGGATGATAGGGTATTCGTCCTACACTCACTCAGCTCAAACCTTCGGCTTTCACTTTTGTTCCATGAATTAGTCTGCCTGTGCAGCTTCAAAGTGGAATGTTGGGGGGCGCCTGGGCGGCTCAGTTGGTTAAGCGTCCGACTTGGGCTCAGGTCATGATCTCACAGTTCGTGGGTTTGAGCCCCGCATCAGGTTCTGTGCTGGCAGCTCGGAGCCTGGAGCCTGCTTCAGATTCTGTGTCTCCCTCTCTCTCTCTGCCCCTCCTCCACTCATGCTCTGTCTCTGTCTCAAAAGTAAATAAACCATAAAAAAAATTTTTTTAAGTGGAATTGTGTTTTGATCCTCCCTGCTAATATTTAACTTGGAGGCATTTTGCATAATTTATCTTTAATCATAATAAGTGCATATGATAATAAACAGTGATTCGACTTATATTAAATATTTACTTGGGTTTTTTCACAGAATATTGGATTTGCTCATCACTTTATCCTCAGTCTTCAAAATGGTCTGGGCATTGAAGAAATTTATCTTAAGTAGATGGATTGTGAAATTTAGATTGTGAAAGTCTGAATTGTCTCCTATTTAAAGCAATGTGGGGGCGCCTGAGTGGCTCAGTAGGTTAGGCGTCCAACTTTGGCTCAGGTCATGATCTCGCGGTCTGAGGGTTCGAGCCCCACGTTGGGCTCTGTGCTCACAGCTCAGAGACTGGAGCCTGTTTCAGATTCTGTGCCTACCTGTCTCTCTGCCCCTCCCCAGCTCATGCTCTGTCTCTCTCTGTCTCAAAAATAAATAAATGTTAAAAAAAATTTAAAGCAATGTATAAAGCACGTACGTAAAAAGGTATAATAACCACTTAGAGTTGACTTTAAATACAGCAAATTTAAAACAGTTTTTCCCTGATTCCTAAAAAAAATATTGAGGTCATATCAATACTTTGCTGATTTGCACTGTCCAATTGATGCTTTAATGGTCATTGCCTTTTCCTTGATTTCTTCATTCTTTTTTTAAAATTTTTTAATGTTTATTTATTTTTGAGAGAGACAGAGCATGGGTGGGGGAGGGGCAGAGAGAGAGGGAGACACCGAATCTGAAGGAGTCTCCAGGTTCTGAGCTGTCAGCACAGAGCCTGATTGTAGGGCTCGAACACATGAACTGTGAGATCATGACCAGAGCCAAAGTTGGACTCTCAACCAACTGAGCCACCCAGGCACCCAGATTTCTTCATTCTTGAAGAATTGATGGACAGATGTGCAAACATTTTGAGTTGACAAGAAATGAAGGCATTTAAGCCTAATATTGCAATGAGACAAAACGCTGTAGTGTTTAAAGCTGTAACATCATAATGTCGACCCAAGCACAGTAAAGCTAATTAAAATGTGTTTTGACAGTCATTTGTAGAATGTGTAGTCAGTGACAACAGCTTTCCATTTTCTTTGAGTTTAGGTTCTGAATGTGACGCCCAATGACGGCTTTGCTAAAGTGCATTATGGCTTTATCCTGAAGGCACAGAACAAAATTGCTGAGAGCATTCCCTACCTAAAGGTAACTGTCCCTGCCTTTCCTCTCTTTTCAGCTTCTGATTCCTTTGAGTCATTTGGAGTCCCTTGATTATGCATTGTGGGCTGATTGGCATGCACCGCTGAGTCTTTTCATCTTCAGACTGTAGACCCTCTGACCATGACATTCATGGGCAGTGATTGGGAGTGTGGGACATAGAAATGCCAGCCATACGAGCAGAGATTATTTGGAAAAGACGTTATGAAGAAATTCCTCAAACTGTAGTTATTAGTTTTTCTTTAAATGGGAAAGGTAGACCAAAATTAGTAATATAATACTTTGAAATATGGGCAATGCATTAAATGTTCCTTTTACAATTTAACTACACATTCAGTCTAGGCTGAGCAGGGCTCCTGGCATCCTACATAAGGTCTGGTAACTAATGTCATCTGAATAGGTCAAAACCTAAAAAAACTGATAGCTCAAATATTCAGATTAAAATATGCTGTCATTTTTTTTTTTTCTTGTCTATCTAATTGAATCCCTGAGGTGCCCCAGAATCACATTTGGTCTAGCTAAGGGCTATTCAGTAGAACTTTCTGTCCCAGTAGAAATGTTCTCTGGTTGTATTTTCCAGTGTGGTAGCCATTAGCCGCATGTGGCTCTTAGGCACCTGAAATGTGGCTGATATGACCGAGGAACTGAATTTTTAACTTTCATTTTGATTTAGATAGTAGCATGCAGCTAGCAGCTACCATAGTAGACAGGTAGCTGATGAAATACCTGTGAACTTCTTTTTTTTTTTTTTCTTTTTTTTTTTAGGTAGCAGTACATCTCACACTTCCATGATCCCTTTCTTTCACGTGACTTAAATCAGAGCCCTCAAATGGCAATCCACTGATTGCAAAAAGCTTGCATATTTTATTTGGCCAGCACAGTCCTATCAAAAATAATTTTAATTGCTTGCTTTAGTTAAGAATTTGAGCGTTTTATATAATCATGCAGATTTCTGATTTCTCTTGAAAGATCACATCTGGCCCACATCCCAGCATTGGAAAGGAGTAAAGCTGTCCCCTTGAGGTGGCCTGCACCCCCCAGCCTGTCTTGGCTCTCCCCAGGCCTCCGCAAACCTTTATGTTCTCTGCCAGGACCCTCTGGGCGTGTGGGTTTCTCTGATTGAAAGTGTTCCCCTTACATTTCCTTTGACATAATAAGGGACTGGTAGTGCCCTCCCTGCTTCAGAGATGGGGACCCCGAGCGTGGGGTCTGTTCGTTAACCTGTCAGTCAGGAGCCCTGATCACAGCTCTCCGCCTCTCCTGAGTGATGCTTCTGTTCCTTGCTGCTACCTTGAAACGTTATGCAAATACAGTTTCTTCCAAGTGAAGATAATGGGTTTCTCATGAAGGGACTTGGAAATGCAGATTTTTAGAAAAACTTTCTTGACATTTAAATATATTTTTTTTTACTTTTGTCCTTCTTTTGCTTTTCTTAATGCATTCTCTTGCTTTAATATTTTTGTTGTTTTTGTTGTTTATACATACCTCAGTTCAGCCCTTATGCAGGAGACAGGGCAGAAATCAGCTAAATGTTTTAGGATAGGATTTGTTTAGTAACAACTACATTTTCGAGGAGTCCAGCTGGCTTTACTCCTATTGTAAGTTTTGTTAAAGAGTTCATTAACAGGTGAGGACACATTCGTTTTAAGTAGAAAGACTTTGCATTTAGGCCTCTGTCACTTCAAAGATTTTATGAGCAACTACACATTTAGGGTTGGAAATAAGAAGCCTCCAGATGACATGAGGTCACATTTGGAGAGTAAAATAAATGGGATCGATCCCCAGTCAAGAAATTCTTTGGGATACTGAAATATGATTGGTTCCACAGAGAGGATTCATATACTAATTTTATGGGCTAGGAGACTATTAACTTATAGTAAATGTATTGTTAAATTTAGCTCTATTACCTCTTTTTGGGTCTGCACTATAATGTTGACCAGTAACCTGATTGCCAAACTTTAATATTGAGATGAATTTTTCTGGTCCTTAGGTTTTTATATGGTATGTAAAGATTAAGGAAATCAGTAAACTAAAGCTGGTATTTAATTTTTTTCATTAAATACGAACGCTGTCCTTTTTTAGGAAGGAATAGAATCTGGGGATCCTGGCACTGACGATGGCAGATTTTACTTCCACCTGGGGGATGCAATGCAGAGGGTCGGGAACAAAGAGGTAATGAGTGTGTGAATTATTTGTTCTCTTAACAGAGGGTAGACTTGGGGCGGGGGAGGGTAATTCTAGGAGAAATTAACAATTGAAAAAATATTTTGAGCATAGACTTTTAAAGGTGGTGATTGAAACTATTTAGCTATTTGTTAAGGTTTATTTATTTTTGAGAGAGAGAGCGCGCGCCTGAGCAATGAGTGGAGGAGGGGCAGAGAGAAAGGAGACCATCTCAAGCAGGCTCCACGCTGTCAGTGCAGAGCTCGATGCGGGGCTCGAACTCACAAACTGCAAGATCATGACCTGAGCCAAAGTCAAGAGGCAGACGCTTAACTGACTGAGCCACCAAGGCACCCCGAAACTATTTAGCTATCTAAACTAAAAAAAAAAAAAAAACCATCCCAACAACTCCTACGAGCCTAAAAAGAATTTTGGGGATTTTTGACTTTTGTAGTTTCTGCCAAAAAACTAGCTGAGTAATCATAAGAACAGCCTCTCAATTGGTATGTGTGAATGTATGTGTGTGAGTGTGTGTGCACGTGTGTGTGTGCGCATAAAGTATAAGCATTGCCCTGAAAAATTTTTAAAATTATCGAAATGAAGAAATGTCTCTGAAATTGCTTAAGTATTTTAAAAATATTTTAATAATATGTCTAGATTTGTTTTTATTTTATTTTGAGGATTTAAAAAGTAGTTATTGTTTGAATGAAGTCTTTATTCAACTGATTCCTAAGCACACTGAACCCAGTGGTTAATTTTGTAAATTACCTTCCGGTATTTAATGACACGTTTAAGATGAACACCTATAGCTAGAGTAATGGCAGGTCCTGATGCAGAAAATGTTGTGGCTAAAACATGTTACATGGTTTCTTTGTGATTATTGCTTTTTTCTGACTACAGTGTCAGCTTCTTTAAACGTAACTTGAGATTATGAATCATGACGTCATACACTGAAGTTACCAGACTGTCAACAGTCATCATGGTTTACAGGTTGTTGGTGGAGAGGGAAGCCCACCTTTTCTGTCTTACATCATCACAAGGCTCTAGGTTGGGCTCTCCTTACAGTTAGGGGTAAAAGGGTGAATCTTTGTAACCATTGCATTCCATATATGTAGTAAAATGCAGTCGACCTCAAGGATAAAAATAAAAGATAACAGAGCCTCAGGTTTCTAAAATTAATAAGAACATGGAGCCAACTTGACACTTGAGGGAGGACTCTTAAGAGCCGGGGCTTTTGTGATGAGGTAATTGCCAACTAGAGAAATGAACCGATTTGCGGTAAGAGAGACTTGGATGATTGTCAGTTTTCTTTATACATTTCTATGTATCTGTCCCTTCCCCCTCTAACCTACCAGTCGACTGGAATAAAATGAGACAGTAGAAGTGAAGAAAGGAAAATAACTCGCTGATGAGTTCTCATTTTTGTGTTCCTTCTTTGTTTTAGATATAAATCCCCGGTACGTCCTTTGAATGAGAAGGATAAAAAAGATTTTGCTATGGCATCTAACACGGGATAAATGTTCCCGTCTGATTGCTGTAAATGTAATTGTCACTAATTAATTTATCTTTGAACTTCTTAGGGTCCAGGGCAAAGACAGATAAAAGAAGTCTGTGATTTTTTTCCTCACATCTTAGATGAAAACAGCCCTTACTTCAAGGGCAAAAAATTCACTGCTAAATATTTGTCAAGGGCTTGGGATTTGAACCTATGGGACTATTCTATCAGCTTAATTATCATCAATATGCATAGAACACCACAGTTTTTGAATTTAAAAAATTCACAAGGATTCATCCTTACAGGAGAACAAAAATAAGCCTATCGGAGTCCCATGGTAGCACATTCTCAGCATTGTGCTTCACACTCTGAGTTTACAGATTGGGAAGCATCCATCCTTCGTGTTCTGATGCATGGGGCTCGGCTCAGGCAACCAAAGGGGAGCAAACCCCCAGCCTCTGTGCTGTAGAACTTGACAATAAAATGGTTTTTGAAGAAGATTTTTCTAAAAGGGTTGTTTCCAACTCACCAACTGCGAGATCATGACCTGAGCCAAAATCCAGAGTCAGACACTTAAGCAACTGAGCCGCCCAGGCGCCCCTACGCCATGATGGCCTCAGCAGGTCACCTATAGCGTTCACTCGCAAGTCCGCATGCTAGCTGGTCTCCTGCTCAGAGAGGCCAGACTCCTGTGTCTGCTGCCTGTGGAGTGTTACCCCCGAGGCCACAGAGACAGCTCCGTGGTGAGCTTCTAAACCGTTTTTCTTCCTGGGTTCCATCTCTCATTTGATGATATTGCCAACTTCTCTCCTGTGCGGTCACGGCCGCGTGTCGGGAAGTTCGCTTCCCCGGTGTCTGGGGCCCATCCCACCTTCCCGCTTGCTCGGTCTGTGTTGTCAGCCTGGGCGATGGCTGGACAAGCCTGGCCCTCGTTTATTGCTTTAGTCTTACTCTCTTCTAGGACATCGTGTGCTCCAAAACCGTACAGTGCAAAACTGCAAATAGTCCTATGTCCACGTGATGGCGTTCATAGTCCTTCACGGACGGCTCAGCCAGTCAGCCAGCCTTTCTCACCCCAAGTGTGTCTCATGTGCCGCACTGTGCACAGAGCTCGGGGGGTGGGGGGGGGCGGGGAGGCTCCAGCGGGGGTCACACCTGATGGGCCTATGCCCCAAACGGGGCCTGGGCTTTTCAGAGTGGGGCTCTTTTGACATATTATTTCTGTATAGCGGGAATGTGTGTGTGTGTGTGTGTGTGTGTGTGTGTGTGTGTGTGTGTGTATAAGCCATTCCTGGCAAGAACTTGAAGTATAAAAGACAGACATTGCTATAAACACATGTAAGAAGGTATCCACAGGTGATCTTTCTGTTCATTTTCATATCCTTGATTAGAGGTATAAAAAGGGAAAGAGTAAAGAGAAAATTTTCAGAGGAGTCTAACTTGATCGTTTAATTTTCTAGCAATTTGTATTGTAAGAAAGCAGTCTGACTGAATTCATTGGGTCCTCTAAATAATTGAATATTATTTTACTTTCATTGAAGATGATTTTTTAAAATCCCTGACATATCACTGTCATGGTTTTGTTTCTTTAAAGTTAAGTAGCAGAGGGATTAAAAAAAAAAGGGGGGGGGGAGGTCCCATACGACTAACTTTGAGTGTGAGAAGAGACCTTGTAGAAAGTTTAAACCCAGCGCTGTAAGCGAAGTGACTTGGCCGGGCCTCCAGCCTGGTGAATATGAAGTCCGGGACTACACTCTGACTTCTAACTCCTGAACTAGAGCTATGAGCTTTGCTATTTTGGTTTTCCTAAAAGAATTTTTTTCTCCCTTCTGACAGTGTGCCTGGTCCATAAAATGAATTGCTGCCGATTCAAAAATAAGCATTTTAAAAACAAAAATAAAAACAAGAAAATAAGCATTTCAAAAAAAAATCACCTGTGGTAATTCATATCGCTGTTCACTTTAACACTGAAAGGTATAGGAAATAAGATCCTAAATTTAAATTGGACAGAAATAGCTAAAATAGTCAAATTAATTTCAAAAGTAAAGTGCTATTTAAAAAATCTCAGGCAATGATTAGCCATTTTAAGTTTCTGGCTTTTAAAGAAACTACTTTATGGCTACAACTTAACATGTATTTCAAGGAAAACATCTAAGAATGATTAGTATATACATTCTTAACTTGAGGTGTTATGGAGAAAGATAAATAAGAATATTACTTCTGATAGCTTTCTTTTTCTTTTTTAATGATACAGAGATAGAAGGAGAGTGGATTAAGTTGCCAGAGCCTTGGGTTATAGTTCAGAATACTTAGTGATTCCTTAAAAATTTCTTTTAATTCCTTTTTGTATATTAGAGAAAGAGAGAGAGCATGCATGCAAATGTAGGAGGGGCAGAGAGAGAGAGAGAGAGATGGAAAAGAGAATCTTAAGCAGGCCCCACCCTCCGGGCAGAGCCCAACACCAGTCTCAATCCCACAACCCTCGGATCACCACCTGAGCCGAAATCAACAGCAGATGCTTAACCAACAGAGCCACCCAGGCGCCCCAAGATATTTTGCCTTTTTAAATGCCAGTTTCAGGGGCGCCTGGGTGGCTCAGTCGGTTAAGCGTCCGACTTTTGCTTAGGTCATGATCTCGCGATTCGTGGGTTCGAGCCCCGCGTCGGGCTCTGTGCTGACAGCTAAGAGCCTGGAGCCTGTTTCAGAGTCTGTGACTCCCTCTCTCTCTGACCCTCCCCTGCTCACGCTGTCTCTCTCTCTCTCCTAGAAATAAATAAAACATTAAAAAAAATTTAAATGCCAGTTTCAGCATTTGTAAAATGGAGATATTTGAAGTTATTAAAAAGATCCTAGCGATTACACACGTGAAAGTGAGTAATAACCAGAAAAGTGTTACTGAACGTATGATGTGGTACTGTTATCACACTTGATTTTCCTAACAAAGGAAATTCTGACCTAAGAATTTTAAGACTTTTTAAAGGTACTATTTTTTACACATGAAAGTATATCTGGAGTTGGAGCGCGCGGGTGGCTCAGCCGGTTAACCGTCCGACTCCTGATTTCATCTCATGATCTCAGTTAAGCCCCATGTTGGGTCCAACCCTAACAGTGTGGAGCCTGCTTGGGACTCTCTCTCTCCCTCGTTTTTCAACCGCTCCCATTCTGTCTTGCTCAAAAATAAATTTAAAAAATAAAACTTAAAAAAAATTTTTAATTAGGTATATCTGGAGTTTTATGAAGATATTCTTTTTGAGTATCTCCTTCATCCACCTGATATTAAATGCATCTGTTTAACTGATCAAAAATCTGTGTTTGAAATCACCCTTCACAAGTCACCACTAGCGCAGACTTGCGGTCGTGAAGGCAGTACTGTTGAGCACAGCACTGGAGGGCCTTCCAACCCTGAAGACAAGGGAGCGCGCCCGGTGCAGCCGTCCTGGGGGGGCGGGGGGCGGGGGGCATATGGAGAGGGTGTCACTCGAAGGAGACATATGGAGCAGCACACTCCGCAGCCAGCTGTCCCCGAAAAGGCTAGTCTTCTTGGAGGCGAGTTGCATCATGTTACAACTAGACGAAAGCCACAAATGTTACCCCTCATGGCAGCAGAAAACCCAAAAAGGAACAAAGCTTCCCCTTTAAAAAAAGTCTCATCTGGGCTATCGCCATATTTATTGCCGGCTCAGAATGATATCTCCTTTCTGCCTATTTAATTTAATGGAGGATTTATACTCCGTTACCGTGGAGCCGGCTTCTGTAATGGGGACGTGGAAAGAAAGGACGTGTGAAAAGACATTTCTTCTTAGCAGTCTAATTCAGTAAATGCAAATATCTTCGAAGAAAATACTTTTTAAAAGATTTTTTAATTTTTTTTTTTTTTTTCCTGAGAGAGACAGCGTGAGCAGGGGAGGGTCAGAGAGAGAGGGAGACACAGAATCTGAAACAGGCTCCAGGCTCCCAGCCGTCAGCACAGAGCCCGACGCGGGGCTCAAACCCACAAACCATGAGATCATGACCTGAGCCGAAGTCGGACGCTTAACCCACTGAGCCTCCCAGGCGCCCCTCGGAGAAATTATTAAATCGCAACCCTTTCCTTTTAAAGGAACCTTAAAACTAGAACTTGAGAAATGAAAGCCCAAAGACACAACCCACTATGGTTTCTTACGCGATTGATCAACTTGACAAATGCGTCCTCGACTCTGTGCTGGACCCTCCCCAGGAAGACCAGCGTGAGCACGTGGACCCGGCATTGCAAGAGCGAACCGCCTCACAGCAAAGCTGAGATGCGTACACGCGGGTGTAATCACGGGTCATTATCAGCAACCCGGTCCAGTAACGCATCCTCACCAGTGTGACACATGTGGGCACCTGACCAGCAGACTCGAGTTAAATGTTACCAAAGCGACGCTTTGGTTTTAAAGTAATAAACGTGCTTCGTTTGTAGTTCAGCTTTTTGTCCTTTCAGGCCTACAAGTGGTACGAGCTTGGGCACAAGAGGGGACATTTCGCATCTGTGTGGCAGCGTTCCCTCTACAACGTGCGTGGACTGAAAGCCCAGCCGTGGTGGACACCGAGGGAGACGGGCTACACTGAGCTGGTGAAGGTGGGTGCTGCGCACACTCAACTCCCCCGTCGTCGGTTCCCTCCCTGCTCAGAAGCAGAGACTGCTTGCCACGGAGAGGGATGTCAGGGAGGAGACAGATTTTATATCCAGTGACGTTTGCTGGTAAAAGAGGGGCGCCTGGGTGGCTCAGTTGGTTAAGCGTCCAACTCGTGATTTCAGGTCAGGTCATGATCTCTCAGTCTGTAGGTTCGAGCCCCTCACTGGGCTCTATGCTGACAGCACGGAGCCTGCTTGGGATTCTGTCTCCCTCTCTCTCTGCCCCTCTTCTGCTTGCTCTCTATCTCTCTCTGTCTCTCAAAGTAAATAAAAATAAACTTAAAAAAAAAAAAGATTGGAAAAAGAATGTCTTCTCCCATTAGCCAAAAGTTCAGTTTAGACGGTGAAGAAAAGAATATTTCTTAAAGAACAGTTCTCAAACGTTTTGACTTTAGGAACCCTTTACACTCTTAAAACTTATGGAGCACCCCAAAGAGTCTCTAAATGGGGGGCTATGTCTGCCAATATAACAATTTGAAATTAAAACTAAAAGAAACGTGATATTTATGAATCATTTTAAAATAATATAAAATTTTCATTACGTGCTAATATAAATAACTTAAAAAGTAGCTTTGATTTCAAAACAAAAATGAGTAGTAAGAAGAGTGGAATTGTTTTTATATTTTTACAAATCTCTTTGGTGTCTGGCTTAATACAAAGCAAGAGGATTCTCACATCTACCTCACATATACATCATTTAGAGTAGTGATATTATCATATGTCAGATAACATCTGGAAAATTCCATTGTACACCGTGAAAGATTTGGGTATGAAAAGGGCAAATAACATCCTTGTATTGTTAAGGAAATAGATTTGATCTTGCAGACCTCCTTGAAGGGCAAGGAATACCCTGTGTATCCCTGGACTATATTTTAAGAACCACTACTTCTGAGTCAATTTAAAAAAAGGCATTAATGTTTCTAGAAAGTGTTATGGCAGACTTGTAGCATAGAGAAAGCAAGTGATTCTAACAACTTAATGCCAAAAGAGAGAGAGAGAGAGAGAGAGAGAGAAAGGGAGAAAGAAATTGGTAAAATAATTGGTAAATTTGGTTTTGGTAAATTAAATCAAAAGAGTAAAAATGTCTGTGATTTTGGTAGAGGCTGGTCAAAAGTAAGGCTGGTAAGCTCTTTCTTCTTCTTACATGTATTTAAAAAAATGGGAGGTAAATTAACTCATAGTTTAATAATGTTATTTTCTACTCAATGTAGAAGGTGACATCTGCCTTATAGGTCAGATGGGCTTCCGTCCAACTTGAGAATCTAACTGCCATATAGACATTGTTTGTATATAACAGTCAGCGGATTTTACTTCTCCAATATGTGTTACTTTCCAACACCGCCAAGCAGCTCTCCCATTCTCAGGGGACACTGACTGAGTGTCCTACAAATGTAACTCAATTCTGACACCGTCTACCTGGTTCCACAGGTTAAGGGCTCAGTCTCACAAGACTGCGCCCATTTCAGACACCAGTTGCAAGTTCAGGTTGTCACCTGTGATTCTGATTGGCTCTGATTGGAGTTTCCCACAACTCCCTCCTTGGGCTGGATTACCTTACCAGAGTGCCTCACAGAACTCAGAAACATTCACTTAGGTTTATCCATTTATTGTGAAGGATGTTATAAAGGATACAGATGAACAGCCAGATAAAGAGGTACCTAGGATGAGGTCCAGAACGTTCTGAGTACCCCCAGGAAACTGGGGTGTTGCTCTCTCTTGGTGCGTGGATACCTTCATCAACACAGAAGCTCAGCAAATCTTGTTCAAGGTTCCATAGTGCTTAGTTGACAGACCCGTTTCCCCAGCCTCAGAGCTGGTGGGTGAGGCTGGAAGTTCTAACCCTCCAGTCATTCGGTCTTTCTGGTGACCATCCCCAGCTTATTGAGGGCCCCCATTCTAAGTCACCTCATTAACATAAACTCCATCTTGTTCAAAAAGGGTTCCTCTAAATAGCAAAGACACTCGTATAATTCAGGAAATCCCAAGGGTTTTAGGAGCTCAGTGCCAGGAATCTGAGACACACATCAAATGTGTATCCTGTTATACCACAAGTCACCCCACTTTATTTTTTTTTTATCATGCATCACTTATAACAAAGGATCATAACAGTTACTAGATACTGACATATTACTAGAGTCCCATTCAGTCACTAATAATTAGTCTAGTTTGTCATCATATCATTTGAAAATGTCTCCCAGGGCAAAACCACTCAGGTTGGCACGCCTCCATTACATCCCATCAGATTCCTAGAGTGGTCCTAGAACTATATGGCTTCACCATTTTAGGCATCTGGTATAATTGAGCTAAGAGACAATATCATCTCTTGCTCAGAGCCTCTTTTGAGGTGTTAATATAATATTGGATTTCCCTCCATTCCCTCCATTACAGAACCTGTTCGTTCCTTCCCTTACCCCCAGCTGCTTTTCCTCTTTCTCTTCATTTGTACTCAGAATGTTTCCCCTTTTGGAAAGCACATTCGGTTGGACCATTGTGCTGGCCTAGATTGCAGGCCATGATACTAGCCTGGCAAACACCCGCCGCTCCCATGCACATCGGGGAGAGTGTGGAGATGATCACCAGAGGGCTGTTCTTCCCGCCAGCCAGGGTAACTGCCCCATTCATTTAGCCAAGAGAGGTGAGAGAGGAAAAGCAAGAGTAAGAAAGTATTGATAATTTTGGAGTTTTGTGATAGATACATGAAATTTATACCATTCTGTCTACCTGTAGTGTTTTACATTTTTCCATTTTTTCATTGTTTGTTTAAGAACATCTTGAATGAAATATTTAAGATGTATGTATAAGACTTCACTGATGAATTTTGTCTACTGGGGAACAAAAGGCTCAATGTGGTTTCAGTTTACTTACATTACATAAGCATTACTTGCCAATATTTATTCTGTATTTCTTTGTAAAAGCGCACTACAGTCATCATAACCCAGATGTAAAGAGGCCACCATCAGTTAGACTTGAAATATTTTATAAGTCAGAAAACCATGGTGTGGTGACAATGAATGCAGATCAGTTTTAAAAAGTTCTATATCCAAAGCAGAAATAGTAGAGGAAAACCATCTTGCTGGATAAATCTACTACATTCAGCTCTGGCAGCAATTCCTTCTATGGTAAAATCTCATCCCGTCTCAGATTGTTTCACCCTGAGCTCTTCTTTTTTTTTTTTTTTTTTCTAATAGTTTATTGTCAAATTAGTTTCCACATAACACCCAGTGCTCATCCCCACAAGTGCCCTCCTCCATGCCCATCCCCCCTCCCCCCCACATCCATCAGTCCTCAGTTTTTGTCAGCATTCAAGAGTCTCTCATGGTTTGCCTCTCTCCCTTTCCCCCACCATTTCCCCCCTTCTTCTCCCCCTTGTTCCTCCGTCAAGTTCCTCCTAATCCTCCTATACATGCAAACATATGATATTTGTCCTTCTCTGCCTGACTATAACACCCTCAAGGTCCATCCATGTTGCTACACATGGCCAGATTTCATTGTTTCTCATTGCCATGGAGTATACCATGGTATAGATAAACCACATCTTCTTGATCCATTAATCTATTGATGGACACTTAGGCTCTTTCCATGTTTTAGCTATTGTGGAGAGTGCTGCTATGAACATTGGGGTACATGTCACCCTGAGCTCTTCTGATTCTCTTTCCACTATCTAATCTTTTTTATCTCCTGGTCTCTTTGTGAGTTTATTTCCCAACTAGAGCTTTTAGGATGCTTTCAAGTTCAAGTAACAGAAATGCAACTGGAACTCGGCTTAAGTAGCAAGGAATTTGATTGACTCCGGTGAAGGGAGCCTAGGGGTAGGGCAGACTCTAGAGGCTGTGCACCAGGCAGAAGGTTTCCTTGTGTGGGCACTTCATCCCCGGCCAGCTTTGTCCTTGTGCTGGCTTCCGTCAAGATGGCGGCCAGCAGCACCTGATACAGAAGGTCAGAAAGGGTTTGAGAGCTGCATAGCATTGTTGAGCCACTATGCCAGGCCCAAATAGCCTTCTAGAAACCTCCTAGCAGACCTTGTCCTAGTGGTCATAACCATGTCACATGGGCACTCACAGTGACAAAGGAGTCTGGGGGACCAGGGAGCTGGCCGCAGGCTGGGGCAGCAAGCTTCCAGCCGAAAGAGAGCATACCTCTCCATCAGCCAGGGTACAAAAGTCTTTTCCACCAGTCTGAGCCAGTTATGTCCCATTTCCATTACTGGCAAGGTTCTATGAGATGAAAGCAAGAGATCAACTCCTGAAGCCAAGAAAAGGTCAGATTTGTCTAAGTCGAATGGGTTATCGGAGAGGAGGTTAACACGAGAATGATGTGATTTTGAAGTGGTGGGAGGGGTCCAGAGCTGATGGCCGAGAAGGAATTCTGGAATCGTCTTTGGTTCAAAAAGGTGGTTTTATTAAAGTATGGGGCTAGGACTCCTGGCTGGAAAGAACTGCACTGGGGTTGTGAGGAGTGACTGGCTACATACCTGAGAGCTGGGAGAGAGCGAGGAAAAAGGAAGAGTTTCCAAAGGGCTTTCATATGCTAACGAGAACTCAGAAGATACTGGGTGCCTTGCTAAGGTTGAGCTGAAGTCTTTTCTCCCTCCGCAAAGCATTAACATTAAGACTTCAGGGAGTCCCTGGAGGAATGTTGGGGTTTTTTTAATAGTTTATTGTCAAGTTGTTTCCATAGAACACCCAGTGCTCATCCCCACAAGTGCCCTCCTCCATGCCCATCACTCCCCTTCCCTCCCCCCCACCCCCGTCAGCCCTCAGTTTGTTCTCAGCATTCAAGAGGCTCTCATGGTTTGCCTCCCTCCATCTTCCCCACTATTTTAACGGAGGACCTGGAGGAATGTTATACTCTGTATTTACCTCAAGTATTTGTCAGTGGGCTTCAGGTTATAAAGAAATTTAATTTTATTTTCCATTTCCTTCTGCCTCTGTTTCCCTCATCAG